ACGATAATTTGGTTTCGTCTGGACGAAAATTTTCCAGAGAGCTGTTCGTCCGGTACGATAATTATTTTCGTCTGGACGAAATTTTTCCAGAGGACTGGTCGCCTCGTATGATGGTAAAATTCGTCTGGACGAAATTTTACAGAGAACCCATCGTCCGGGACGATATTAAAATTCGTCCTGGACGAATAGGACTTACAAAAAAAAAATTTCAAGCAAGTTCCTATTCGTTCCAAGTGCTCTATAGGAGATAACTGACAGATTGTCCAGTACGATAAATATCGTCCTGTACGATCAGTATAGAATTTCAAGATCTCCTTATTTTGTGTGTGTGAGATTTTATTCACTCAATTACAATCACTCCCTTTCAAAATTAATTCAAAGTCTCATGTTGAATTTGATTTGAAGTTTTCGTAGTCTGGAGTCTGATTTTCCTGAAATGTTAGTACACACAAGAGCAAGTGCAAATCTTCTGAAATTGATAGGAGATAACTATACATTTGAACGATAATGTTTGGAATCATTAAAACTACATAAGTTGCACAATTATAAATCATTCAAATAGCAACTATTCAAACAGGGATTTCTTTGTCATTTGAATTTTACTTCTGATGGCTGCTTCTTTGCCATTTACATGTAATTTTTGTCTTATTTTGGGCTTCTTCAAGCCAGCCATTATTGTCTTTAGTCTTTCTTTTCATTACATGTAATCTTTTTGATTAATATACGAGCTACGCCCAAATTTTCCCAACAAAAAATAAAAATAAATGATTAGTTATTTTAAATAATATTTAAATAATTAATTATATCATTATCATTATAATTAAAATAACAAATAAATAAATAATTAGATAATTATTATTGTAATTGGAAATTAAGACTTCATTTGTGACAACTTTCTCATTGCTTCTTAAAGCAATTTTTTTATACAAAAATAAAGATCTTCAACTATCGTGAGGAAAAAAAACCTAAGGTTTGCATGTTGGCGCACGAAGTCACTTCGTTTTGTTGAGATAGTTTAGGGTTTGGTAATGTTGCTTTGATCTGCTTCCTATGAGGGCTTGCACGTTGTTTTCTCTTTTTCTCTTCTTTCTTTTTCTTTCTTTTAATACGATGGAACAATTTCCTCCTTTAGAAACTTTGGCTACTTAGGGTATCTCATTCGACAAAGCCTTGGATGTTCATAATAGCTGGATTGGGCGTACTTTTTCATGACAATCTTCTAACAAAGATTTTTCAGTTTCTTTTTTGCCTCAGAAAGATAGTTTAGCCCTATTTTTCTGATGATGAGGTTCAAAAGATTTCTCAAAAATGAGGTTTAACTCTTGTTGGCTATTCTTCAGGTAAGAGACATTTTTTAAAGCTTTGCATATTGTTATGAATAAAGCTTGGAAATTCAAAGGTTCCTTTACTCTTTTATCTTTAAATGATGATTTTTTCTGGATGAAATTTATTTGTCAAGAAGATTTTGATCTTGTTTGAATTGGTTGTCTTTGATTTTTCTTTGGTCGGTTGTTTATTTTACAAAAATTGTCGCCTCTTTTGACCTTTAAAGGGAGGAATTTTCTTCAATTCCTCTATGGATTACAATTATTGATCTCTCGTTGGTTTGTTTGACTGAATAAGGTATTTCCAAAATTGCTAGTTTAATAAGTATTTCGATTGCGGTTGATATGCTTACTGCGCAGCAATTACGGCTTACTTTTGCTAGTGTTTATGTTATGGTTAATACGGAATCTCCTATTCCTGATGATGTAAATGTTTCTATAACTGGTTCTATTTTTAGTCTTAAAGTTGTATATAACTCAAAACTGACTCCTTGTTTGGATTGGGTTCAATTGTGCATCTCTCTTCTTTATGCCCTTCTAATCCCTCTACTGGTTTCGAGGCTAATGAAAAAGTTTCTTTTAAAAAGGAGAATGATTTTATTAAACTAAGAGGTAGGAGTAGGAGTAGGGTTTTTTTGGAAATTTTCCTCTAATTTTCAGGGCTGAAATGATAGAAAGGAAACAAGAAGTAATAGCTGGGTTACAAAACATAATTCTTAATAATTTTACTCTTTCTAATCATAATAAGACAGTTGGAAATATTTATGATATTTATAATATTTTGGCGGTTGAAGTTCCTATCTCAACTAATGATAAAGTTGAAGTTGCTGATAATGTTATTCCTAATTTGAATTCACCTACAAATACTTCACTTGTTAATAGTTTACTTTTAAAGGTTGATTTGTAGTCATCTATTTTGTTCGCCCCTATAAGAATACAGGTTTCTTGATTAACTTCTAATAAGAATGCTTATGATTTACTTATTCAGAATAAATTTAGTATTTTACAAGTTGTTGATGATAAAGTTGTTTTGAATAATGTTGATATTTCTCAGACTTCTTCTTTTATTGATTGTTTAAGCAAAGTTCTAAATAATTCTGATTTGCAAAATCAAACTATTTCTAAACAATCTATTGCTACAGGTGAGTTGCCTTGGAGTAAAGAAGCTAGGAAGGCTATCTCTTCATCTAAATAATCATGTTGCTTCCTAATATTATTTCTTGAAATGAAGGTTATTTTGATGAGCTCTAATTTTTCTATTTTTCTTATGACGGTTTATGCTTCTAATGATCAGCTTGAAAGGCAGTCGTTATGGAAGGATATTCTTACTCTTTCCCTAAACATGTCATTTCCTTGGGTTTTGCTTATGGATTTCAATTGTTGCAAAATTTCCAATGAAAAAATTGGGGGAAATGTTCTCCCTAATAGTAGGCTTTGTGATTTTAATAATCCCATTTTTAATATTGGGGTTCATCATCTTGCTTCGGTTGGCTATTTTTATACCTAGTTTAATCAAAGAAGTTATTGTCTTATTTATATCAAGCTCGATAGAATCTTGGTTAATAATTTTTGGTTGGATAAATTTCGTACTTCTTATTAAATTGTAGAGTCTCCAAAGTGTTCAGATCATTGCCCTTTGATTCTTTGTAATAAGAATTTGGTTAATAAGAACCATCATTTCATTTTTAAAAATTATTGGTGTTCCTATCCTACTTTTTGGGATTTACTTATTGATGTTTTCTCTATGTCTATAGCTGGTAGCCTGATTTATGATCTTTATAATCATTTGGTTAAACTAAAAGGTTTAATTAAATGACATTCATGAGTTTCATCCAATATAATTTCTAACAAATTAGATAATTTGCATTCTTCTCAAAGTATGCTTTTACAAGAAATTCAGCACAATGCTCTGGATAATAAGTTGAACTATGAATTAAATGATGTTAATTCTCATTTATTCATTATCAATATTTATTAAATTCTTGGTTTTTCAGAGATCTAAAGCAAGATGGTTGGCTAATTGTGAAGATTATTTGGGGTTTCTTTACTCCAAGATTCGTTGTAGGCATAAGCATAATTTTATTAAAAAAATTTCTTCTTCTGATGGATTAATTTATAATACTAAGGATATTTTGAATGCTTTTATTCAAAATTATAAGAGTCTTTTTAATTCTCCTAAGCATCTTTGGCTTTAATTTTGATATTTCAATGGGAACCTCCATTTCTTCTACTGCAATCTCTGGTCTTATTACTCCTTTTTCTTTGGAAGAAATTTGAAAGGTGATTTTTTTTTGCTCCTAGACCTGATGGTTACACTTTTGAATTCTTTAAAAATACATGGGATAATATTGGTCCCTCTTTTAATAAAGCTATTTTGCATTATTTTTCCAATGATTATGTGAATAAAGTGGCTAAAGCCACAGCTATTGCACTTATTCCTAAGTGTTCTCATGCTTCTCAAATTTCTTATTTTAGGCCTATATCATTATGTAATGTTTTTTACAAAACGGTGATAAAAATCTTGGCTAATTGTATGTAATTTGTCATACCTCTCATTATTCATCCTAGTCAATCGAGATTTATCAAAAAGAGGATCTCCACTAATAATATTTTATTAGCTTCTGAAATTTTGAGAAATTTATTTTTGCCAAAATTAAATATTTTTTTGCCAAGTTGGACATTCAAAAAGCCTTTGATACGGCTTCTAGAAATTTTCTTTTAAATAGATTGGCATAAAAAGATTTTTCAAAAAAAAAAATTATTAGATGGATCAAAAATTGTATAGATGATACTTATTTTTACATCATTATTAATGGTTCTTTCGAAGGGTTCTTTAACTTTTCTTCCGGTTTACGCCAAGGTTGTCATTTATCTCCTTACTTATTTTATATTGTGATGGATGCTTTTTCAAACTTGATATATAACAATATTTTTTATGATCGATCAATTTAAGGGCTTTAAAGTGAGAAATTCTCATATTTCTCGTTTATTATATGATGGTGATGTGCTTGTCTTTAATAAGGCCATAGTTTGTAATGCCAAGATGGTTCAAGATA